TAATCTAGTAGTTATAATGCATGACCCAGCTAATGCTGGATGACTAGATGCACTGTAAGACCATCTCCAATATGGTGAGATTTAATTTGAGGGAGTATTTTTAAGGAGAGAGAGTATTTTTTTTTTTTGCAAAGGATACTAATAAGTTGGTATCTAAATTTTAGCAACTCCAAAAGAAAGTTGCTAAGTTAGATACTCAACTTGAGTCTCATTTGACAAAAAATTGTGGTCCCTTTATCAATATTATAATATAAAGAAATTCTATACAATAACCTTCAGGTGTTCACTTTTCCATGTTGTGCCCCCCTTCTTTTAAAAGTTCCACGCTGTAACCTTATCGTTAACCCTCCGTTACATGTTGTTGTTAGTGGGACTCACTTTACACCTGTTTAATTTTTTCCTCGATTTTCGTGCTAAATATTTCCCGTTAAGGGTTTTAGGGGTCATTTTAGAACTTAAGGAGCCAAATTGAGTTCGGATTTTGCAAAAAAATAACGTAAAAACCCCGTTTTGTGAATTCGAATTCCCGTAGTTAAATTTAGAATTCACAAAATGGGGCTTTTACATTATTTTTTGCAAAACTCGAGCTCAATTTGGATCCTTAAGGACTAAAATGACCCCTAAAACCTTTAATAGGTGTAAAGTGGGCCCCACTAACAACATGAAACGAAGGGTTAGTTTAAGGCAAGGTTACAACATAATCAATAAATGAACCTTGAGGTTACAATGTGGAACTTCTAAAAGGAGGGGGCACGGCGTGGAAAAGTGAACACCTGAGGATTATTGTGTAGAATTTCCCTATAATATATTTTGTAATTTATTTAAGTTTTATTTTTGAAAAACTTACAATATGGATTAGGTGAGCCATAAATTAAAAGTGACGTTAGTATACTTTAGAGAGTCTCACCATTAAAAAATTAGAATTCACACAAGTTGCTAAGGGCTTGTTCACTTCAGCTTAAGTCCAGTTCAATTTATTTCAATTTATTCAGTTCAAATTCTAATTTCCTTCTCTTATAAAATATTCATTTTAGCTCCATCCAATTTAGTTCAGCTCCAATCAGATCAGTTCAGTTCAGTTCAATTCAGTTCAGTTCAGTTTAGTTCAACTCAGCTCAGCTCAGTAAATGTGAAGAGGCCTTAAATTGAGAAGTGGGTTGGATATCACCATTGGAGGTAAAAAACAACTAATTTTGTATTTTAATACTCAAAGTTGACTCTCACCAATGAAGATGACCTAATAAGAACTCAAAGACTCATATTATATAGTAGAAGAAGAAAATTAGTATATATCATATATGTAATCCTAGCCACTATACTTAATTACTACTAATATAGTAATTAATATGTAATATAAGCCTGTTTTGTCTACCTAATGCATCAAATACGTTGCCTCAATTTGTATATGCTTTGGCTGCTGGAGATATTAAGGGCCAGAATTAACTATAGAAAATATAGTAGTACAAATTGCACAATAGTAGACATACTACGTAATCCTATATACAGTACTGTGTATTATTTTTATCAACAATTAGTTACCCTACTAGCAACTTAATGTTGGAGTTTACAAAACATTATTGGGGCGAAATTATCAAATTTAACCAGTTTAAATTAGTTGATTGACCAATACAGTAACCTAATTGGGGTGTTTGGTGGCTAGTTGATTTGAAAATTAAAGTTGATTCCACCCAATATGATTATTTCCAACCAATTGCTTTGAGGAGCTTTTTCACAAATTAAGTTGAAATATTGATTCCACTAAATAAGCTTGTATCCAATTTATTGTCTTTCATTACGGAGTAAAATGAAATAAAAAATGCGCAATTTGATCGAAGGGCTGCTACTAACGGGCCAAACCAATTCCTCTTGGATTTTTTATCCCGATGCTTTGCTAGATAATAAATGGGTGACAAACGCAATCAAGGTCATGAACCCATTTGTTTTGGAACAATTTCTTAGGTATATTTTGAAAATCCTAATAAAGTTACAAATAATAATAATAGTGATGTATATGAAATTCGATTTTAAATCTTAAACACAATCAATGCATTAAACAACTAACTTAGTTGACTTGGACTAAGTCACCATGATCACTTTAACGGCTACATGCATTGGCAAAAATATTACCTTTACGTCACATTGATGTCAAATGGCTAACAATCCACATGATTATTGCTAAACAGTACAGAACCCCCTTGACCAAATGCTTTATGGTAACAACCCCCTTTACAAAACTATTCTCTATCCCTTCACCTTTTCAAATGCAAGAAAAGGTCTTCAATGACCTAAGATAAGTGGTCTAGCTACTAGCTTACGCAAGATTTTCATTTGACAGCAATAAGTTATCAAATAATATTGGTACCTTGTAATTCTATAGCATTTCCTCAAACTACCAAAGGATTCATGACATCCCATTTTGCATTTGTGTTAATTATCTTGACCCTTTCTAACATGTTTAATTTCTATTATTTTACATGGTTGAATAAATAGTTAAACACCTAAGTGTATAATAAGAAATTAATCTAATCCTTATGATCATGTGGAAAAATTTTAATTGCATCACATCATCACTAAAATTAAAAAATTTAAGGAAAAAGATAGAGAGGCAGTCAATACTCAAGAAATGTGGAAAAATTGATGAACCCGTTACTTAGGACGTAGGGATCACGGCAATATTATATGAAAACAAAATAGGTCATACCTCTTGAATTGCCCCGTTATTTCCACTAAAATGTTCATGATCCATGACAAATTGATTTGTCCGTTTGTTAATACAATTTGACCCATTGGCCATTAGGCTACTCAATCTTAATTATTCAAATTGAAATAACAATTAAGTAATCACTCCCTCCTTTTATATTTGTCCCTATAGTAATAGTTTATCATCATTAAAAGTTGGCTAAGGTTGTGTAATAAGTAGTGGTGAAAATCATGTAGTTTGGTTCTAAAACTTTATTTGAGTCGGATTTTATTCGGTTAAGAAAAATTTCAGATTTTATACGTAATTGAGCTGTGTTTAATGTTTGAAACAAGTGTTTCGAACTTATTTGTGAGAAACAAATTAGGACCTGTTCTGTTGACCTTATTTTCACTTATTTTAGGAAAATTAAGTTCAGATAATGTCAGTTTATGGTTAATAAAGTTCAAATAAGATAAGTTCAGAAAAAATAAGTTCAGATAGGTTGTGATAAGGGTTAATTAGGGCTACCCAAGTTTAATCTAATATATATATATATATATATATATATATATATATATATATATATATATATATATATATATATATATATATATATATATATATATATAAACGGGAGTTTTTTTCCCGAGTTTTTAGAGAGCCACGTAGGATCTAATTTTCTTAGCGCCATGTAGGATTATAAATCTTATTAGTAGCCAATTAAATAAGAGATTATTAATTTCTTTTAGAATTAAATAATTTAAATGTCATGTAAGCAAAATTGGCGAATGAGATTTTTAAGTTTAAATTAATTAAATATTATATATTATCTTTCAATATTAGGAATTTTATCTAAATATATAACAAATTTTAGGCTCATAAATACAAAAAAAAAAAAACATTATTTAAAAAAAAAAAATCAAACAAACTCTGCATCGCACGGGTTTTATCTAGTTTATAACTAAAATAAGCTCTAATAAGAGCTAATAAATTCAGATAAGATTAGTTAAAGTCAGATAAGTAAAAATTAGGGGAATAGAACACACCCCTAAGGCCTGTTCACATTTATATAATTTCAGTTCAGTTCAGCTCCAATCAGTTCAATTCAACTCCTAATTTCCTTCTCTCATAAAATATTCATTTCAGCTCAGTTTTGTTTAGTTTAGTTCAGTTCAGCTCCAATCATTTTAGTTCAGCTCAGTAAATGTGAACATACCCTTAATTTCAACTATAACCCTTCTAAAAAAATCAACTATAAATGATTATCGATGAATGTGTCTGGGATTGAGTCAATTTTGGGTCGAGTAAGATTATTTTTGCAATCAAGGCAATGTTGGGTATATATTAAAGATAATTGATATTCCAAATATCACGTCTTCAATCAGTCGGCAATAATCAAGTATATTGTCGTTAATATATATATTACCATCAGTATATGTTACTCCCTCCATTTCATAATGTTAGTCCCATATATTATTTTGGGCGGTTCAGAAAGATATACCCATATTGAATATATTTCATTTATAACTTGATTTTTTTTTAATTAATTGATTATGGACTGATGACATGACTTTAATTAAAGAAATTTTTACCTTAAATTATGCAATTATAACATGTGCTTTCCTAATGAAAAATAAAAAATGTTAAATAAGGTAAACTAATTATGAAATATGTTGTACTTTAATGTTAGATTCCAAATATATTTGTTTTCTTATTTTATGTGATTGATTCCATATGGGACTAACATCATGAAACAAACGGAGGGAGTAATATATATCCTCTCAATTAATTAGATTTGATTCTCTTCTAAGACAGTGCTATAATATAATATATAATATAATATCATGTTGGCCATATAATTCTATAAATACCATGTAATTATCTTTTTAAAATACAATTAACTCAATCAAATATTATTCCTTATTAGGGCGGGTTATCTAATTACCTTTGCCAAGTTGATATTTAACTTCCTAAATTTATTTACTATATAAGGATTTGTGATAATTTAGGGGAGAAAACGACAAAGTTATGGCATTTTTTTTTTTTGACAAAGGCTAAAGAACAAATTAAGGATTAGAAAACGAAACTAGATTAATTCTACAGAAATTAGCTACTTGGTGTGCCTGATGGACTTGCTGTCTATCCACCTTCCTGATGCAGCAAACATCAAAGTGCTTTACCTTACTCTTGATTCCCTGCAGAGTCCAAAAGTTGGCCATGTTACCATCTGCTCTTGACACCAACTGTGTAACCAAAGCCGCACTATCTGTAAACATCTTGACCCTCTTGAAACCCTTTGTTTGAGCCCAAGTAAGAGCTCCTAGGCAAGCTCTTGCCTCTGCACAGAAAGCTGACTCCACCATTCCATAGTTTCCTCCTCCATCATATATAACATCCCTATTGTTGTGAGTAAAGGTCCAACCAGTACCCATTCTCTTTCATGTTTCTCCCACGATCCATCAATTTGGATATGAACATCATAAGTTCCATGGTTAAAATTACCCAGATTAGCAGCCAGAAAACCAGGTGGGTAAAGAGGTTCATGATTTCCCAAAACCACATTCTCTTTACTTTCAAAACATTGTAGTTGCTCCCTACACAGAAGTATATTTCTTCTTACCATTGCAGGACCACCAGCTTCATTTCTAAAGACTCTACCATTTCTAGAAACCCATAAACTCCAAAGAGTAATAATAAGAGTCTTGATATTTAAACTATTAATTCCATCCTTGCTATATAACAGAAGGATTTGGGTCTGAATCCATTCCTTTAGAGGAGTGTCATCAATTAAATTCACAGTTGGGTTAATAATACTATCACCCCATGAATCCCTTGCAATCTCACAGTCCCTAAAAATGTGTTGCATTGATTCTATTTCCCCACAAACATCACAAGAAGTATTAAGAGCTATTCCCCTATTTGAGAGATTCTCTTTAGCAGCAATACCCCCATGGTAAAGTTTCCAAATAAAAATTTTCCATTTTTGTGGGATTTGAAGCCTCCAAACTATCCTAAAGAAACTTCCCTGTTCTGCAGTAGTAAGATTAGTTTCATTGCTTCCCTGCTGCTGATTCCTTAAGAATTTATAGCCTGATTTGACTGTGAACTTACCATTTGGTGTATACTTCCAATACTGTCTGTCCTGCTGCTCCGAGTCTGGAAATTCCAGAGCTATTATCTCTTTTGCATCTCTCTCCTCAAACCATTTAGCAATCTCCACTCCATTCCAGCTCATTGTATTCTGATCAATAAGGTCTGACACTCTTAAGTTTCTTGCTGCTGTAATTGTGTGGTTACTTCTAATTTCAGGCATTTTGCCATTTACCCAGGCGTCAGAAACTGCTGCTACTTTGCTCCCCATTCCTATTTTCCACACAAAACCTTTCCTGAAGCTGGAAACTGCTCTGATTAATCCTCTTTTACCCCAAGATAAGGCACCCTTTCCTGAGAATCTTGGTTGTAGGATGTTAGAAAAATCTGTTCCTTGTGCTTTATAGATCCTAGCTATAGTCAGCTGAGGATTTGTTTGAATTCTCAGCGCCTGTTTGAATAGACCAGTATTATTGAGAAGCTCTGCTCCTTTAATGCCTAATCCCCCTTCAAACCTTGAAGCTTGTATCATTGTCTTCTTAACCCAATGCATTCCCTTATCTTCTCCATTTCCCCACCAAAATCTTGTAATTATGGAGTCAATTTTATTTGCAATCGACGTAGGTAGCTTAAGACATCTCATCACATGGGAAGCAATGCCTATAAGAACAGTATTGATAAGCACTAGTTTTGCCCCTTGAGTCAGATTCAGAGAATGCCAAGCCTTTACCTTTCTCGAAATATTATCCACTAAAAAAGAGAAAATCATACTCTTCTTTCCCACCATGTCAACTGGAACACCCAAGTGCTTTTCAAAATGTTGGATCCTAGAAACTCTTAGGATACATTTGATATTATTTGCGATATCATCTCTTAGATTCGGGGATAATTTAATAAAAGACTTCTGCAGGTTCAATTGCTGACCCGAAGCATCTCCAAATCTTTCAAGAATGTCCTTGACTGCCAGAGTTGACCTCTCAGAAGCTTCAAAGAAAATCATTGCGTCGTCTGCAAAGAAAAGATGAGTGATAGATGGAGTTCTTCGTGAAACTCTAATTCCTTTAAGACCATTTATATCCTGTGCAAGAGTGAGCATGCGAGACAATATATCCATACAAAAAAGAAAAAGGTAGGGAGATAAGGGGTCTCCTTGCCTGAGACCACAATGTGGTTTGAAGGTATCAGTTGTTTTCCCATTTACTAGTGCCTTGAAAGAAACAGTAGTAACACACTGAGAGATCAATTGTAACCACTTTGCAGTAAACCCGTACGCCTCAAGCACTTTTAGAAGAAAAGTCCAATCCACTCGGTCATAAGCCTTAGACATGTCGATCTTTAAAGCTGCTAGCTCAGACGTTTTCCTGGTATTAATGGTGTGCAAAAGTTCGTGACTAAGCAGAATATTGTCTTCCATATGCCTCCCAGGAAAAAAGGCATTTTGATAGTCTGAAATCAGCTTAGGGAGCAGACCCTTCAGCCTATTTACTAGGCACTTTGAGATGCACTTATATATCGTATTACACAAACTTATAGGACGGAATTGTGTAGCATACTCTGGAGCTTCAAGCTTTGGGATCATAACTAAAAGAGACTTTGCAGCCCGTAATTTCAGATTCCAAGGAGTATAAGACGGCAGCTATTGTAAACTAATTAGCACTTCCTACTCTTTTAGCAAGTGAAAAACAAAGACTGGATGCCCCCTTCTCTTATGAAGAAGTCAGGTCAGCTATGTTCTCCTTTCAGGCTGATAAATCGCCAGGCCCAGACGGTATAATTGCAGATTTTTTCAAGACAAACTGGGATCTAGTGGGGAATGAAGTGTTTAAAAGTGTTGAAGAATTTTTTAGATCGGGTTTCCTGCTTAAGAAATGGAATCAAGCCCTATTAGTTATGATCCCAAATCTTGAAGCTCCAGAGTATGCTACACAATTCCGTCCTATAAGTTTGTGTAATACGATATATAAGTGCATCTCAAAGTGCCTAGTAAATAGGCTGAAGGGTCTGCTCCCTAAGCTGATTTCAGACTATCAAAATGCCTTTTTTCCTGGGAGGCATATGGAAGACAATATTCTGCTTAGTCACGAACTTTTGCACACCATTAATACCAGGAAAACGTCTGAGCTAGCAGCTTTAAAGATCGACATGTCTAAGGCTCATGACCGAGTGGATTGGACTTTTCTTCTTAAAGTGCTTGAGGCGTACGGGTTTACTGCAAAGTGGTTACAATTGATCTCTCAGTGTGTTACTACTGTTTCTTTCAAGGCACTAGTAAATGGGAAAACAACTGATACCTTCAAACCACATTGTGGTCTCAGGCAAGGAGACCCCTTATCTCCCTACCTTTTTCTTTTTTGTATGGATATATTGTCTCGCATGCTCACTCTTGCACAGGATATAAATGGTCTTAAAGGAATTAGAGTTTCACGAAGAACTCCATCTATCACTCATCTTTTCTTTGCAGACGACGCAATGATTTTCTTTGAAGCTTCTGAGAGGTCAACTCTGGCAGTCAAGGACATTCTTGAAAGATTTGGAGATGCTTCGGGTCAGCAATTGAACCTGCAGAAGTCTTTTATTAAATTATCCCCGAATCTAAGAGATGATATCGCAAATAATATCAAATGTATCCTAAGAGTTTCTAGGATCCAACATTTTGAAAAGCACTTGGGTGTTCCAGTTGACATGGTGGGAAAGAAGAGTATGATTTTCTCTTTTTTAGTGGATAATATTTCGAGAAAGGTAAAGGCTTGGCATTCTCTGAATCTGACTCAAGGGGCAAAACTAGTGCTTATCAATACTGTTCTTATAGGCATTGCTTCCCATGTGATGAGATGTCTTAAGCTACCTACGTCGATTGCAAATAAAATTGACTCCATAATTACAAGATTTTGGTGGGGAAATGGAGAAGATAAGGGAATGCATTGGGTTAAGAAGACAATGATACAAGCTTCAAGGTTTGAAGGGGGATTAGGCATTAAAGGAGCAGAGCTTCTCAATAATACTGGTCTATTCAAACAGGCGCTGAGAATTCAAACAAATCCTCAGCTGACTATAGCTAGGATCTATAAAGCACAAGGAACAGATTTTTCTAACATCCTACAACCAAGATTCTCAGGAAAGGGTGCCTTATCTTGGGGTAAAAGAGGATTAATCAGAGCAGTTTCCAGCTTCAGGAAAGGTTTTGTGTGGAAAATAGGAATGGGGAGCAAAGTAGCAGCAGTTTCTGACGCCTGGGTAAATGGCAAAATGCCTGAAATTAGAAGTAACCACACAATTACAGCAGCAAGAAACTTAAGAGTGTCAGACCTTATTGATCAGAATACAATGAGCTGGAATGGAGTGGAGATTGCTAAATGGTTTGAGGAGAGAGATGCAAAAGAGATAATAGCTCTGGAATTGCCAGACTCGGAGCAGCAGGACAGACAGTATTGGAAGCATACACCAAATGGTAAGTTCACAGTCAAATCAGGCTATAAATTCTTAAGGAATCAGCAGCAGGGAAGCAATGAAACTAATCTTACTACTATTTGTTTTTATTGCGTTCCACCCGATTCACCCTTTGGGCTAATCCGGATTTGAGATCAATTCTAGTCGGTTAAGTTCCAATTCCCTTTCAATTGTTGTTGCGAGAGTCTGAACACAGGACCTTCCTACCAAGTGTAGTCCCTATCACTACTACACCAACATCCAATCGGTAAAATGTAAAATATTTGTGAAACAAATGCTTTAACTTGTTTTGATGTTCTTCGCCAAAATATATAACCTACAAAAGTTTACCTAAACAAAATAAAATCTTACACCAATAATAAAATCTCTACATAAAATTATATAAATATTGAAAGTTCAACATGAAAGACAAAACAGAGAAAAAGAATTAAAACTTTCAATATTAATATATTATAACCCCAAGACCTACCTACGCTTAATAAGTCGTCGTTTTCTCGTAGCATTACTACAATATAAATAGCCATGATCATGAACCATACTAAATCAAAAAAGTTTGAATTAATAAGCAAAGAAAAAAAAAACCTCCAAAAAGAAAAACAAAAATCACTTTAGAATATTCTAAAGAAGTAGAAGAAAAAAAAAAGATGATGATGAACACAAACGATATGTTCATGCAATTTGGGTCATTTCTAGCAACAATGATGTTCGTAAAGGCCATGTACGAGCAATACCTCCCTCATCAATGGCGTGATTCGATCCGTTCATTTATGTATCGATACACGGAGAGAATAGTAAGGTTTTTCTCTCCGTATCTTCATATAACCTTTGAAGAATATACCGGGGAAAGGTTTAGTCGGAGTGAGGCTTACATAACCATACAAACTTACCTTAGTGAAAAGACTTCGGATAAAGCGAGGGGATTAAAGGGTAATTTTGTTAAGGATGGTAAGGCGTTAGTGCTTGGATTAGCTGATAACGAGGAGGTGACCGATGTCTATCAAGGTGTTAAGGTATGGTGGACTAGCCATAAGAGTTTTGCTAAGTCTCAAACCATTACTTTCTACCCTGGAATGGATGAAAAAAGGTACATTGCTTCAAAATCTATTGTTTTTTAATTATTATTATTTTTTTAATCTTAATGCTTTTTAGTTTGTAATTTAACTAGTGGAATTTCTTTTTCCCTATAAGTGTATCTCAATTTGAGAGTGAATGTAAAGGAAAATAAATAAATAAATAAATAATAAATCTAAGGGACCAAAGGTGTATCAAAATTTTGAGATCGATTCTCATCATCTGCTCTTATGGTTCCTTAAACACCAGAAAAAAAAAGTTTATCAAAGACGCCCAAAATAATTGAGGATTAGAGTTAGATTTATATTAGGTTTTTGATATCATAGCCTATATAGCTTGCATAGCTTCAATTTGAGAAGCTTAAATTAGCTTCCTTGTAAATAACTTCAAGTTTAGCTAATACGTAGTTTTGGAGGATTATTTATTTATTTATTTTTAAATAAAATGTTGTCATGTATCACCGACTACTATCCATTTTAGCAGTAATATATGGAGTTTATGGAGAAGTTGTTTGATAGATTACAGAATCATAAATATTAGAGATATATAGATCGGTAGGTTGATAAACTCATTATAAGTTGAATTAAACGCTAAAAAAAAAATATGTATATTTTTCAGAGCTTATCACTTCCCTTGATTTTTAATGTGGTAAACTTGTCGTTTTCTTACATACCTGGAATTAAAAAAAAAATTGTATTGAAATTAATTAGAATTATTTTTGTTGATTTATCACTTGACCTTGTGCATAAAGAACAATGAAATTCTTCATAACAATTAAAGGAACCACAAAAAATTGATGTCATTGGTGTGCATTTGTGCATTAATCTATTAAATGGCACCATATTGACATATACAACTATATAATATAAGTCATAGTATTATAGAGGTCATAGTCTCCAACGTCCACATACACCGGCCAAATGGCCAATCTCTGTATTTGATTCATCGTCAGCACAGTTGAGTGTTGAGTCTATTACGACCAGGCGGACCAGTTAAGGAGTAGTAAAGAGAATTTCATAAAAAAAAAATAAAAAAAAATAAAAAAGTCACATGCTCCATCTGAAAATAACAGTCACTTCCATTTTGTTATAATCATATTACTACATTTTTTGGTCTCAATAAGCATAGAATCAATCAATATCAATATATAATATTAAAACAGACAGCAGGAATGACACGTGTCATTTTACTGGTACGGTTTTTTCCCTCCAAAACTTTTATTTTTCTTTTTTTTAAAAAAAAAAATCACCTTGTAAAAAAAAGCTATTTATTTTTGTATATAATTGTGATTCACTTCCTAAAAAAAAATCAACAAATCATACATAATTATAATTCACTTCCTAAAAAAAATTATTCACATATTTTTCCTATCTTTTTTGGGTTTACATCTGGTTCATCCTTTAGGCTAATTCGGATTCGGGACTCAGTTTTGAATATAAATTTAGGGTCTGTTCACATTTTCTTAATTTCAATTCAGTTCAATTAAACTACAATCAATTCAGCTCTAATTAGTTCAGCTCAGCTCCTAATTTCATTCTCTCATAAAATATTTATTTCATTTCATTTCAGCTCCAATCATTTCAATTCAGTTCAGCTCCAATCAATTCAGTTCAGCTCAGTTTAGTAAATAGAAACAGGCCCTTAGATTCAACTTTTTTCAATTTCATATAAAAATTTGAGGATTATTTTTTTATAGACTTTGAATTAACATTACAAGTTGTTACAAAATTTTGTAAAACCTAGGCGTGATACGGGGTTTAATTTAATAATAATAATAATAATAATAATAATAATAATAATAATAATAATAATAAAACAACCAGAAATCAATATTGTATAATTGTAAAATCAGGCAAAGAGAAACTCCTTTTTGGAAATTAGAATACAAAAAAAAAAACCTAACTAATGCCAATATTTTGGTTTATTATCCTTGTAACAGGCATTATCAACTTACATTCCATGGAAGTAACAGAAAGTTTGTCACTGAAACATACTTGAATTACATTTTAGTCGAAGGCAAAGCAATCACAATCAAGAACAGGCAAAGAAAATTGTTCACCAACGTAAAAGAAAAAAGTGGATCATACTATAGTAGAGGAAGCTTATGGAGCCATGTTGAGTTCAAGCATCCGGCTTCTTTCGAAACCCTAGGTATGGAAGAGACCAAGAAAAATGCCATCAAAAATGACCTCCTTCGCTTTAGAAGTGCTAAGGATTACTATAACAAAATCGGAAAGCCATGGAAGCGCGGTTATCTCTTGTATGGACCTCCTGGCACTGGCAAATCAACCATGATTGTAGCCATTGCTAACTTGTTGGAGTATGACATTTATGACCTTGAGCTAACCGCGGTTAAAGACAATACTACGTTAAGGCAGCTACTCATTGAGACTTCAGGGAAGTCGATAGTTGTGATTGAAGATATTGATTGTTCTCTTGATCTTACTGGAGAAAGATCAACGACAAAGAATGAGAAGAAGGATGATGAAGGAGAAGATGATAAGGAGAAGGTTAAGAAGAAGATGAAAGATGAAGGAGAAAGCAAAAAAAGTGAGGTAACTCTTTCAGGGTTGTTGAATTTTATTGATGGAATTTGGTCTGCTATTGGAGAAGAGAGGCTAATTATATTTACTACTAATCATTTTGAGAAGCTTGATCAAGCACTTATTCGAAGGGGGCGAATGGATGTTCATATTGAGCTTTCGTATTGTTGTTTTGAGTCGTTTAAGATGCTTGCGAATAATTATCTAGATGTTAAGTCGCATCGTTTGTTTGATACTATAAAGGGCTTGTTAGAGGAGACGAAGATGAACCCTGCTGATGTTGCTGAGAGCTTGATGCCCAAGTCTCTTGAGTTAGATGTTGATGTTTGTTTAGGAAATTTGGTGAAAGCTTTGGAAAAGGCGAAATTGGATGATCAATCGAAGAAGGAAGAGGAGGAAAAAAAGGAGAAGGAGATGAAAGCAAAAATAGAGGCTAAGGAAGAAGGGAAGGAGGAACAAGAAGAAAATGCTAATGAGAATAAGACTAAGAATGACGAATAATGTATGAAAAAAAAACCATGATGTTGGGGAGAAGGGGATTTAGTACGTACTTGTTATTAAGTGATACCTCATGTTGTCATATGTATTTTGCAATTAATTATAAACCTTAGTTATAATCAAATTAAATTATTATGTAGTATAACTTTTGTTTTGAGGTAAATGTTATATTTGCTCATTTTAAAATTATTCATCTTTAACGCATAACTAATTAAACATAATTGATGAGAGTGAGGGATTAGCTCAAGGTGGTTAGAGCCCCTCTCGATTACAAGTAGATATGAGATCGAGTCTCATCAACTCATCATTGTGGCTCTCTAAACACCAAAAAAAAAACATGTAATTGGTAGTATTAACAATAAAACTAGTACCACATATGTGCTAATAATGTATATGGCTGTTATTTCAATTTTAATATAATTCGTATTGTTTAGTAGTGTTGACTGTTGAGCTAGATGAGCAAGTTTGAATAGGGTTTATTTATTTATTTATATATTTTTATCATCATCATTATCTTGACTTAATTATTTGGCATCTTTTTGAGAAATTTTATTCGACATTGTCTTAGGTTCAATGTTTTTGATGCTATGAACTGAACACAAAAATTTATTAAAATCCGATATACATTATCATTATTGTAAATCGGTTTGCTCGCACTAAAAACTTTCTTCATCTTCCATTCATTCAGCTCTATTCCCCTCTCTTTGTCTCTCTATAATGCTATAATATCTGCAATGACAACCAACAAACGAACGAACGTCTTGATTAATCTTTCTACATCTTCTTCTTCCGACGATAATGGCGACGATTCCACATCTGCTCCATCGTCTAGGTATAGCAATTTTTTTTTTTGTTTATAAATGATAACTTTATTTGCTGATTTGAAAATCTTTGTGAAATTTATTGAATTAGATTCATTTTTGCTGAAAATTTGGAAGAATGAAAAGTTTGAATTTGATTTAGTGGAGATGAACGTGAGTTGATTGATGATGACGATGACGATGCATGGAACTGAAGATGATGATCTTTCTCTCTCTAATTGATTTGTTTGACTGGGATTGTTGTGTTTTTCCATGACTAATGTTAATTTTGTGTTTATTTTTGTTGATTTTGATACGGAGTACTCTGTTTTGCATATGTAGCTTAATTATTTTTATGAAAAAAATGGTCACTTTTGTAAAAAAATGAGTCACTTTTGTGAAAAAAAAGGATCACTTTTGTGAAAAAAGGGGTCAATTTTGTGAAAAAAATCACTTTTGTGAAAAAAAAGGGATCACTTTTTTGAAATATGGGTCACTTTTTTGAAATATGGGTCACTTTTGTAAAAGAAAAAGGGTCACTTTTGTACAAAAAAAGGGTCACATTTCGCAAAATGTTCGATGTACAATAAAATTATTGTAAACCGGGGGCATACAAAAGTTTTTGACGAACTAAATATGTTATGTCCTTATAAACTACGAAATATTTAACATAAATAAAAATTATACACAAAGTATTGGGTGGGCACCTAATATTTCGTCAGTCAAAACTCGAGAACGTATCGGATCATCGTCATCATCTTGCGATGAAAAATAAGTTTTCATCCGATGAAAAATTGGTGGTGGTTACGGCAAAGGAGAGGAGCGAGGTCATCCATGGCGAAAGAGAGAGAAAACTTGAGATTTTTGAATTTTTTAGAAAATGCCTAAAAAATCAAATTAGGGTTTTCTAATGTGATGTATAATTGTAGACACCTTAAAATGTCTCCCCAAAACCAAACCCGATGATGAACACCTTTCACCGCCATTGTTGGTCGGGTTGAGTATTTAATCTTTGGAGTGCTTAAATCCATGTTCTATCCAATACATTTCATAAACCAATCCATTTCCTAGGTCATTTCCCTAAACCATAACCTATTTTCCACTTTTCGTGTCCACATCGCAAAACAGAGCTGAACTGATTTTATGGATAAATAATTTTGATCCAATTATTATTTGGATGGATGGTTTTTGAAATAAGATTTCCAACCATATATCATAAGCCCAATTCCGTGTTATAACGAAAAAGATATGAGCAAAACACTAAACTCGGCCCAAAACCGACACTCTTTCACTAAAACGGTCTTATCGTAAAATATACAAATCATTTTGACTTGATTTTAATTGTCTTGGAAATTATACTTGATAAGCTTTCCAATGATGTATTATATGCCTTATTTTGAGTTACGGATCAAAAGTTATGATATTTTAAAAACAAGTAAAAAACTTGAATCACCGCGCACAGTGCAAAAGCACCGTGTCACGGGATTATGCCCCGTCTGACGGTGCCAGGCACCGTATCACGGTACTGTACATCGTGTCACAGTGCTATTTTTTGAAGCTTTTTTACGTCAAACTCCACCGTGGCACGGTACCTGTTGTCGTGACACGGTACCTGCTGCCGTGACACGGTATTTCTCACCGTGTCACGGTGCTTTATCCGTGTAATTTTCGCGTTTTACCATACCGTGACACGGTGTACTGTACCATGCCATGGTGGACATTGTCGTGTCACGGTACGTGTGCCGTGTCACGGAATTTTCTCGTGTCTTTTCCGCGTAAACCCTTTACGCGTTTTCACTTCCGTAGGTCAAATTTGTCCTGCGTCACTCCAGTTGTCCACCGTGTCACGGGAATTTTCCCCGTCTGATGGTGCCAGGCACCGTGTCACGGTACTCTTTGCCGTGTCACGATGTTATATTTTAGGGATTTTATCTTTTTAGGGTTCCGCGTGTTCCCTCTACTCATTTTCCCTATAAATACCCCCCTCATTTCTGCAGTTCGGGACATCAAATCCTTCTCTCTTTCTCTCTTTTACACCAAAAATCATTCTCTTCTCTTTCTCTCATATTCTAAGCCTCAAACCTATATTCCTAATTACACCATTATTTCCTTAAGCACTCCAAGGAGTCCATACTTAACCCGAGGTTACGTCCTTAAACCAAGGCGTGAAAGGTACAAATAACTGAGGGTTTGGACCAAATCAAATCTACATTTATTTAATTTAATTTTCATTTGATTTATATTTTCTATTGAAGTTACTAACAATTTATTCATGATGTAGCAATTTAAAGGAACGCGCAGAATGTGAGTAATTAGTTAATTTAATCACTCTTATTTTATTTTAATATTGCTAGTATCATGATTAGGTTAATTTATATTTGATTTGACTAACACTATCATTGTTAAATTGCTTCCAATATTAATGTTTACTCTATTATTGTTTATGATCACCATATTGCATGTTTAAAGGGAATATGTAATTGAAAATCACGCCTAATAAGATAATTTGGACAACCGGTTTAGGTTCCTTTTAATCTTGTTATTAAATCAAGTGATCACTAATATTTTAGAATAATGTGTTGCATTAATATTAAACCAATTTAGCTTAATAATAGTTTGGAGAAAATTGAATATTTTGTTTGTATGCCTTTGGGATCGCAGGAATCATTTTTCACTATAAGAATCGAGTAGAGGCCAATACGGGCGAATGTGACTCCATGACTCACTTCTTACCATCATCCCCGATCCTCCTTTCGTGGTTCCGAACCATATGGAATTAGTAATCTCATGGATTATGAATGAGGTGTAACCTTCACGGGTCAATCGTTGTTGTCTATCGTTGTCCCTTATTGTGGTTGTCTTTTATGATCCGTGAACGGTTTACAAGTTCCTTACAAACTTGTTGGCGGATCCCTACGTTCCTTGTCCCTAATCGTATTATGTCAATTCCCACTTCCTATGAGTGTCAAGCATATTCACCACATACTTTAACGTAGGCACACTTTGAACGACGCCTACAATAATTATTGAAATTCATTGTCCTATATGATTGTATGTTGAATTGTGAGCATTTTGATAACATATGCATGTATTTTGGTTGAGAAATAAGCAAGTTATGTTATACCCATAACCTTTAGTATGAGCACTTCAATGGAGGCTCCACCATTGTTATACATATCATCAAACAAATTATATATATCATCAAACAAGTTGTACATATCCTTCACTGGCTGGATAATATCCTCTGTTGGTTATATGATATCATGGTTGGATGATATCCTCAATTAATTGGTTATATAATATTAATTATGATTGTGTTTATGATATCATTTATTGGCTGGATAATATCCTCTATCACAAAGTTTTATATGCGGCTGGCCGCACCGTACGACCAACCATAAATTTTTTTTCTCTCTCTTCTATCTCCTCTCCTCCATTTTCTCATCCTTGAAGCACCGACTTCCTGCTGCAACGATCGTCGTCTACTTCCTTCTCCAACCCAGATCATCGTCGACTTCCTTGAAGCTCCAACGGTCCAACCTAGCCCGTGGTTGTCGTGAAGCTCCTCGTACTCTGTTACCGAAAAACAATTTAGAGGTTTTTAAGGCCAAATTCAGCTATGAAAACTCTAGATCAAGTGTTTTCATGGTCAAATTTGGCCTTTTTAGCCTATTTGAAGTGAAATTTGAAGCCAGTGTTAATAATTAAGGTATTTGTTAGATTTAATTGTTTTTTCCAGTTTGGTTGTGTTTTAGTTGGATTTGGGTTTGTCTGTGGCAGCGGAGTTGGTGGCAGCGGGTACAGAGGTGGTGGGTTGCTAGGCGTGGTGTGTGTTGCTGGGCGTGGTTGGTGTGGGTGGTTTTGGGATCGAAGTTGCTAGTGGTTAGGGTAGGTTTTGGGATCAATGTTGGTGTGGGTTGGTGGGCGTGGTTGGTGGGGGTTGCTGGTGGTTGGTTGTGTGGGTTGGTAGGCGTGGTTGGTGGGCGTGGTTGTTGTGGGTTGCTGGTGGTTGGTGGTGTGGGTTGGTGGGCGTGGTTGGTGGCTGCTGGTAGTTAGGGTGGTTTTTGGGATCGAAGTTGGTGGCAGCATGGTTGCTGCGCGTGGTTGCTGGTGGCGTTGGGGCTAGTGGCATGGGGCAGGGAGTACGAGAGGTGGTGGTGGTGTGGTGGAGTTTAAGGCTTTGAGATGGCGTAAGATTAGGGGTTACTTACTTGGTTAGAGGTTACTAAGGGGGTAACTAGGTCCGATCTGGGGTTACTTGGTACGGTCAGGGGTTACTTGGTCCGGTCAGGGGTTACTTTAGGGATTACATGGGGGGTTACTAGAGGGGTTACTTGGGAATTTACTTGAGGGGTTACTTTAGGGGTTACTAATAGGGCACTCTGCCGCACCGTGCGGCCAACTGCACCAGAAACGCACTGATCCTCTATTGGCTATCGGATATCATCCATCCATGAGGTTGTCGGATATCATCCAGCCATGATATCATATAGTCAATAGAGGATCTTATCCAACTAGTAGAAACATCTTCCGGCTAATAAAGGATATTATATAGTCAATAAAAGATATCATCCGGCCAATAGAGAATAACATCCAACCAGTAGAATTCTCATCCAGCCAATAAAAGATATCATATAGCCAATAAAGGATATTATCCAGCCAATAAAGGATATCATTCAGCTAGTAGAAATATCATCCGCCCAATAAGGGATATCATGAAACCAATAGATGATATAATCCCGCCAATTGAAGAAATAAAAAATCCGCATTTTGTCAGTCCGGACTGACACAATAGCTTCTCAGAATTATATGTCATCATATATATATGATTAACCTATATGATTGTATGTTGAATTGTAAGCATTTGGATAACATACGCATGTATTTTGGTTGAGAAATGAGCAAGTTCACTACAAGAATCAGGCTGAATACCGACGGAATGGTTCCGACGGACCTAAAAATCCGTCGGAAAAATCAATATTTCCGACGGATTTTATTTCCGTCGAAAATTTCCGACGAATTCGAAAATTCCGTCGGAAATTTCCGACGGAAAATTAATCCGTCGGAAAATATGTTCTTTCCGACGGATTTTTCCGTCGGAAATTTAATTTTCCGACGGAATTTATATCTGTCGGAATTTTCCGACGGAAAATTCCGTCGTAAACTAATTTAAAAAAAAAAAAAATTCGGAACCTACCCTAAACAACTAACCCCCCCCCCCCCTTCACTTTCCCTAATTCCCTTCTTCCGCCTCTTTACACTTTCCCCTTCACATTCTCTTTCTCTCTCCTCTTTTCCCTCTGCCCCTCCTCTCCGTCTCTACTCCCTCTACTCTTCTCCAATCCTCCATCTTCTAACCACCACCAACACGGCCGCATCAACGCAACAGCTACAACAATCCTCCCTCGACCACCAATCCTCCATCTTCTCCCTCAACCACCAATCCTCCATCTTCTCCATCAACCACCACCAAACCACCACCAACATCGACCGCAACAACATCAACAACGCTACAACGCAACAAAGCAACAACAACAACAACGACGCAACAATATTATAACAAAGCCGACTGTTTTCAAGGTTTTTGTTTTGTAGATCTAGTTTTAATTTAGGTTAGATTGTAGATCTAGTTAATTTCTTTGTAATTGTTATGTTAATTTATGAATTTTATTGGCTAATTGTATATTTTTGTAATTGTTATGTTAATTTATGAATTTTATTAGATAATTGTGTGGATTTTTTCGATTTCGTTGTTAATTTAAGATTTTTGGGCTAATTTTCGTTGTGGTGTTAATTTTTGAATATATGGGGGTGGATTTTCATTTCGTTGGGGTTGATTTTTGTTTCGTTGGGTTTAATTTTTGTTTTTTAGTGTTTAATTTTCATTTTTTTGGGTGTTTTCGGGATTTATTTTCATTTTTTGGGGTTCAATAATGGTGTGGTAGTGTCGGTGGTGGTGGGATAAGAACGATCTGGTGGTTCTAGGGTGGGGCTGGTGGTTTTGGGTGGGTCCAGTTTTTTTTTGTTTTTTTTAATTAAATTTTCCGACGGAATTTCCGTCGGAATTTTCCGGCGGAATAATTTCCGTCGGAAATTTCCGACGGACTTTCCTAGGCCCGAAAACCTCTTCAGACGGAATGGTTTCCGTCGGAAATTCCATCAGAAAACGCTTTTTCGACGGATTTTTTGTCGGAAAAGTGCGTTTTTCCGACAAAGTATATCGCGACAACCAGTTACGACGGAAGGAAACTGGTTTTTCGATGGAAAACAAGGTGTTTCCGACGGAAAATTTCCGTCGTAATTTGGCTGTTTTCCAGTAGTGGTTATGTTATACCCATAACCTTTAGTATTAGCACTTCAATGGAGGCTACACCATTGTTATACATATTATTAAACAAATTATACATATCATCAAACAAGTTGTACATATCTTTCATTGGCTGGATAATATCCTCTGTTGGTTATATGATATCATGGTTGGATGATATCCTCTATTGATTGGTTATTTAATATCATTTATAATTGTGTCTACGATATCATTTATTAGCCGGATAATATCCTCTATCACAAAGTTTTATATGCGGCTGGCCGCACCGTACGGCCAGCCATAAAAAAAAAAATTTCCCTCTCTTCTCTCCTCCATTTTCTCATCCTTGAAGCACCGACTTCTTGCTCCAACGATCGTCGTCAACTTCCTTCTCCAATTCAGATCGTCTTCGACTTCCTTGAAGCTCCAACCTAGCCCGTGGTCGTCGTGAAGCTCCTCATACTCCGTCGTCGGAAAACAATTTAGAGGTTTTTAAGTCAAATTCAACCATGAAAACTCCAGATCTAGTGTTTTCATGGTCAAATTTTGCCTTTTTAGCCAATTTGAAGCCATTGTTAATAATTAAGGTATTTGTTAGATTTAATTGTTTTTGTTTTTCTGGTTTGGATGTGTTTTGGTTGGATTTGGGTTTGTTTGTGGCAGCGCAGTTGGTGGCATCGGGTACAGGAGGTGGTGGGTTCGTTGCTGGGCGTGGTGTGTGTTGTTGGGCATGGTTGGTGTGGGTGGTTTTGGGATTGGAGTTGCTAGTAGTTAGGGTGGGTTCGTTTTGGGATCAGAGTTAGTGTGGGTTGGTGGGCGTGGTTGGTGGGGTTGCTGGTGGTTGGTTGTGTGGGTTGGTGGGCGTGGTTGGTGTGGGTTGCTGGTGTCGGTTGCTGGGCGTGGTTGGTGGTTGCTGGAAGTTAGGGTGTTTTTTGGTGTCGGAGTTGGTGGCAGCATGGTTGTTGCGCATTGTTGCTGGTGGCGTTGGGGCTGGTGGCATGGGGTAGTGAGTACGAGAGGTGGTGGTGGTGTGGTGGAGTTTATGGCTTTGAGGTGGTGTAGGATTAGGGGTTACTTACTTGGTTATGGGTTACTATGGGGGTTATCAGGTCCGATTAGGGGTTACTTGATACGGTCAGGGGTTACTTGGTCTGGTCAGGGGTTACTTGGGGGGTTACTTAAGTGGGGTTAGTTGAGGGGTTACTTTGGGGATTACTTGGAGGGTTAATAGAGGGGTTACTTGAGGTGTTACTTTAGGGGTTACTAATAGGGCACCCTGCCGCACAAGAAACGCACTGATCCTCTATTGGTTATATGATATCATGCCTGAATGATATCTGGCTATAGGATATCATCCAGCCATCATATAGCCAATAGAGGATTTCATCCAAATAGTAGAAATATCATCCAAACAATAAAAGGATATTATAAGTCAATAAAAGATATCATCCAGCCAATAGAGAATAACATCCAACCAGTAGAATTATCATCCAGCCAATATGGATATTATATAGCCAATAAAGGATATCATCCAATTAGTAGAGGATATCATCCAACTAATAGAGGATATCATTCAGCTAGTAGAAATATCATCCGCCCAATAAGGAATATCATGTAGCTAATAAAGGATATTATTCAGTTACTGGAGGATATTATTCAGTTATTGGAGGATATTATCCAGCCAATAGAGGATATCATCTCGCCAATTAAAGAATCAAAAATCTGCATTTTGTTTGTCCGGATTGACACAATAGCTTCTCAAAATTATATATCATATATATAGAAATTAAGATACAATTTCCTAATATATATCAAATAAAAGTTGCTAAATTATTTTGTATCAAAATTTTGACTTATAATAATGCATAGTGAAAAAAGAGTTGGGCCGAAAAGGTAGTACATCACCACAAAAGTAAAACGACTATTTTTACTCCGCATGCACAGTAACATTAAGATACATTGAACTTTGTTTCAAAAAAAAAAAAAAAGATACATTGAACTTGTTTTGTGAATGTATTAGAAAACAACCCAAAGACTTGAAGTCTCCTTATAATAAAAGAACAAAAAAGACCAAGTAATGTTGATCATTGACGCCTCTTTTGGGTCTCCTTCACTCTATGTCAGTTTCTGTCATCGCAAAATTATTTCTTAATTACGAAGGGTCGTCTTAATCTTAGTACACATTAATTAATTCATTACATTCACATGTATGAGTCAATAGTAAAGGCAGTGGTCTTTAATATAAAAACGAAATAAGATATTGACATAATTGGTGATGATGATGTATACCCGAATACGATATGTTTATCAGTTTATGCAACTTTGCCTTCTTACCAGAAGAGCTCCTAATATTTTATATCGGCTTTATTAATAACACAATTCGATCAATGTAAATTTTATGTGTATTGATACACGAAGATAGTTGTCAAGATTTTATTCTTCCTTAGCTCTAATATTTATATTATCCTTTGTTAAGGGTTTAATCATCTATTGTAGCTCATGGTTAAGGGAATTTCAATCAATATTAATAGGAAAATTTGTAAGAAACTACCCGTTAAAAACTCTTTTTTGTCAAAAACCACCCGAAAAAAAATTTGTTGCCAAGGACCACCTGTTATAAAAAAAAAAGTTGTCAAACACCACTATGGGCTGAATTCCGGCATTGACTGGCCAATTCCGGCGTTGAAGGCACGTGACTTTTAATGAACCCTCCCTTTCCAATTTTTTATTTTTTATTTATTTTTTATTTTTATTTTCCTTTCGAAATTTTCAGTCTTCCCTCTATAGTCTCTCTCCTCTTCCTTCTCTCTCCCCTCTCTGTTCTTTCACTCTCATCCATCTGTAAAAGCTCCATTGTTAGTGACGAAAAGGTTTGTAATTAGTATCAACAACCTTAGATAATTCCGAAACCTACAGTGTCATTGCCGTGGTTGTCTTTTGTTTTTTTCCCCCCAATTTGACTAATTTAGGGTTTACTAATTGATTGGAACTGGGCAAATTTCAGGTTAAATGTCGCAATCTCCAGCAAACAAAGTGCGGGTTGATTTCTGGGAATTAGCGTAAGGATAGGGTAGTGGGTCTAAGATTTCAAGGTAGGGCGAGGTGTTTGTGGTGGTGGGTCTAGCGTTACGAGTGGTGGGGGTAGGTTTCCGAAGTGGTGAGGGTAAATTTGAGGAAAAGGAGAAGAGCGGCTGTGGTGGATTTTTGGTTGGTAGGTTTGGATCTGAAGAAGAGGTGGATTTAGGTGGTGGAGGTGGTCGATTTTCAACTTTTTGGTGTGGTGGCTGCGTTTCGTGGCTGGGTAGGGGTTTTTTTCTGGGCAGTGTAATTGGTTTCAGGTGAAGGGGGGGAATTCGATGGTTTTTGGGGTGGTTGTGGCGGTTGTGCATACTGTGGGGGTTAATGGCAGTGATTGCGAAGGTGGTTTAGGGGGTCATTAAAAGTCACGTGTAAGTCACGTGCCCCAAGTCAACGCCGGAGTTTATGGTCAATGTCGGAATGTTGAGTCAGGTGGTCATTGACAACAAAATTTTAAATTTGGGTGGTGTTGGGCAACAAATTTTTAAGTGGGTGGTTTTTGACAAAAAAGTGTTTTTAGCGGGTGGTTTTCGACAAAATTTCCATATTAATATAATGATTTATGATTAAATTTACTAAAAAATCTACTACCCCAATTCTATTTGTGACGTTTGTGTAACAGATTATTGAAATAATATTGTACAACCGTGAAATTAAAAGTGTTGGTAATTTTAGTTAAACAAATGAAATATAATAAAAACACATCATCATAAATATTATTGATCAAAAGGCACTTAAAACAACATTTCCTCAAAAAAAAAAAAAAAAACTTTTAAGAAATATCGTAGACATTATTTTAGAAAGAACGATTGTTGACCGTTGACGTTTCTCTTCAATGTATTAATACACATTTATAAATTACATTTCACATGGGCTGCAATCGTACTACACAAAACAAAGTTAAATAAGAGAGGAAATAAAAAAAGATGATGATGATAAATCCGAGTGATACATTTATGCAATTTGGTTCAATTTTAGCAACAATAGTATTTCTGAAAGCATTGTACGAGCAATACTTGCCATACAAATGGCGCGATTCGATCAACTCGTTTCTGTATCGTTATACAGAGAGGTTTGTTAAGGTAGTCAACCCTTACAACCACATCAGCTTTGATGAGTACGCAGGTGGACGTTTCAAGCGTAGCGAGGCGTACACCACCATTGAAACGTACCTAAGTGAAAGAACCTCTAATAAAGCAAGGGGTTTGAAGGCCAATTTTATTAAAGATAGTAAGTCGTTAGTGCTTGGATTAGCTGATAACGAGGAAGTTACGGATGAGTATCAAGGTGTTAAGGTTTGGTGGAATGCTTGTAAGACTGTTACTAGATCTCAAGGAATTGCTCTCTATCCTGGTTCCGATGAGAAGAGGTTAGTACATTGTTCGTCTGTTTGTTTGTTTTTAAATCAGACTGTTTAGTAGGTGTATTTTTTAATTATAATTGCAATGTGTATAATTTTTCTATTGCAAATATATAAAAATGTTATATATTTTTATATAATATATAAAATATGCAAATATATAAAAATGTTAGAGAGTTGTAAGTGATTTAAATTATAGGGATTACATATATTGACTTGGATGATATCATGATTCATGGGTCATTATAATACTTCCTCCGTCTCCAAATGATAGTCACTTTTGGGTGAAAATCACGGAATCAAGGAGAAATAAAGTACATGGAAACTAAAATCCAATCATGTGCAAAACAAAAAGAAGAGAGAGAAACTGATTGTCATTAAAAAGGGAGACAACTCATTCAATTAAGGCACAAGTACAAGGCAAATATGAGGGTATTTTGGGAAGCACAGATAATAAAGCCAAAAAAAATGAGGGTATATAGGCCATTTTGTGTTATTATATGAGACCTAAAATTATAAAATGTGACTAACATTTTAGGTGTCCCAAAAATGGAAATAGTGACTACCATTCGGGACGGAGGGAGTATGAGATTGTATTTTATTAGAGTTATGCATTTTAATTTATTTAAATTGATTTGAAAACATAATAATTAGACATATTATCTTGATATCAACATTATAATCAAATCCTTTTATCTTTGGTGTAACGATACTCCCTCCATTTCATAATGTTAGGCCCTGTTTGATTCACCTTAATTTTGCTGAACTGAAATTATTTTTACTGAACTGAACTTATTTTTACTAAACTGAACTTAATTTTACTGAACTGAAATTATTTTTACTGAACTTAAATTATTTTTACTGATTTTCTATTATAATTCTTCTTTAAGAAAACTGAATTTTACCGAACTGAACTTATTTTTACTGAACTGAAATTATTTTTACTGAACTGAAATTAATTTTACTGAACTGAACTTATTTTTACTGAACTGAAATTATTTTAACTTAATATTTTTTTTTTAAGGTGAATCAAACAGGGCCTTAGTCCCAAATACTATTTTGGACGTTTAAAAAAAATCTACCCCATATTGAATATATTTCATTTATGACTTGATATTTTTGAAATTAATTGATTGTGGATTGATGACATGACTCTAAATAAGGAAATTTTTACCTTAAAGTAAGCAATTATGACTTGTGTTTTTCTAATAAAAAATCAAAAAAGTTAAATAAGTAAATTAATTATGAATTGTGTTGTACTTTAATGTTTGATTCCAAATACATTTGTTTTCTTATTTTATGTGATTGATTCCATATGGAACTAACATTATGAAACGGATGAAGTATTATGTTATGTGAAATATATTTGATATTATATATTGTAATTACTTATTAGATTATTTGATTTTTGTAAATCATAGAGATTGTGTTAGGATTATTCTCTCACGAATAATAATTTGGACATAATATTATTCTCTTTTACTCCGTACCAAATATATAGAACGAAAAATTAAAGTGATCATAAAACTATAGGGTAAAAATAACAACAGCGGGATGAGTATGTATATACTACCTCCGTTACAGGTTATGTGTAACGATTAGATATTTTTCCTCTCTGTTTGATGTCAAATCAAGGTAGTAGTATATTCAATTTGACTGAGTTGCAAATGGCGTGGAATCCATCGTCATGACTCATGCGTATGAAATGCCCAATAGTCCCAAAAACAAAAACAAAAAATACAGAGAATATTCCAATTATTTTTAGAGAGAAGAGAGAAAGAGAATTCCAATTATTTAATCGATTTTGATTTTGGATTCCTTTTTACGGAGTATCTTTTTTCGTTGACTAATATGTGGTAGAGTTGGACAGTTGGTAGTCATTGACTTCAAATGAGTATTATATATAAACTAAAAGCCCATAGTTGTTGAGTTTGCTTTTTTTGGACTTCAGAAAATGAAAAAGTTTTAAAAGCCCATGGTTGGTGAGGTTGCTATTTTTGAGTTTGAAAAAAGAAAAAAATTAAATAGAAAATTGGTTATTCAATGAACTAGAAGGAGAAAAAAGAGTTTGATCTCTTTTAAAATAAATTTATCTTCTTTTCCAATTTCTTGTGCTGGATTTTATTTTTGAGAAATAACGTTTATCATCGTTATAAACAAAAAGTATTTATTAAATGGAAAAAGTGTAAAAAAAATAAACAATTTTTTATTAAAAAAAATTGATCCCGTAACTGTCGATACTATTACAAATATATCAGGTTGATTAAAATTTTTTTGTTCATAATTTACTATTTGTCACTTGATAAACAAATTTTGTTTATCTCAAGGTGATAAATGAGGTCTTTTCTTTATTTTATTATTTATAGTAAGTGTACGATTTATTTACATAATTTATCTAATCTTTATCAAAACTTACATGAACTTATTAAAAACTACTTTAATTTAGATTTAAACTAAAAAAACCTTTATTAATATTTACCAAAACTTGTATTTCATAAAGCATTAAACTATCATATCAAAATTTTCTAATATAAGTAAAATTAAGATAAACAAAACAAGTTATAAGTAAACTTTTTAAGAAACAAAAGTAACAAGGCTAAATGAAATTTATGCAAGCATATATAAGAGGAATCTTCATGATCAACAATGAAAATAGGATAATTTGTTAAAAACATCTTCAAATGAAAAGGTAGAGTAAATAAATAGAAGATAAAAAGCAACTGAGTGTATAATACATTAAGTACTACTAACTTGCTTCATTTCTCTAAGTTTACTTACTTTTATTTTTATCCGTGTTTCTAAGTTCTACTCACTTTTACTTTATTTCTTATATGATAATTTTTTATTAATTTATTACTTGGTATCATTCACAAGCCCATCTTGTGGGGCTCAATTTATTTAATAAATTTCTTAGTCATCATATCTCTCCTCTCTTAATGTATGATCCTAATTTAATTTTTTTTATTTCATAACTACATACAATAACTAAGTAAAAGTAAGATTAGCAAAATAGAGGTAGTAGATGACTTCACCAATCACTAAACTATTAATGGCTAGGCTAGAGTAGTAGAGTGGAACCAAAACCAAACAAATAAAGGATGTTTGGTTTGTTTAGATTGGAAATGTGCACACATAATACACGTGGAACCAACAATCAACTTTACCGACATGGCGGATAACCCTCACCAAGCATTAAAAAAATATTGGGCTTCATTTAAGAACAAAATTAGTGTGTAGCTCACGTGGTAGGCCTCATTTATGGACAAATTTAGTGTGTAGCTCACATGGTACACGTATTTTTACTTTATAGTATTATACATTAATACATTTTCTTTAAAAAAAACAAAAACATTTATACTTCAATTATATTACTCCTTTCTTCCCATTTGTATTAAAATATTCTCCAATTTACAATAATATTTGTGCAAAATTAACTTCCTCATATAAAATTTGTTTTTTTCCATTTACTTTTAATACTTTCTTTTCTGCAAATCTTAAGTATATTTACCTTTTCAATATATTTTTACTAACTTTCCATACGCTTGTATTTCCCACTTAAATTTCTTAATACCCATAAAAAATGTCCAAAAAAATATTCTTTTAGAGACAGAGAGAATATACAATACTGGAGTATATCCATGTATAGTGAATGGGTGCTCAACTTTTTAAAGATTTGATTATTAATATCTTGAAACCTTTTGTTAACTTTTGGGAATATTGGTTGCATTGTAAAATAATCCTTTTGGTTCGGGTCATTGGGTAGGATTTTACTATTTTTGTAGTCTAATCAAACTCGAGTCTCCACGCAATTGAATTTTTGTTTGAATTATTATCTAATTAAGTCATTAGGGTTAGATTTTAATATATAACACCTATATTTATATGGATCAATAACAATTGAGTAGTGAACATAAATGATACACAAAACGTACACGAAAAAGCAATACTATTTACTCTAGATCCATTTATAAATGCTCTATATTCATCCTACATAACAAATGTACGAATTGGTAAGGTAAAATGCTTGAAAATTTTAGAGTTTGTTCTAATTTACTTGAAACAACTGAGCTTAACTAAATTGAATAGAGCTGAAATAAATTGTTTATGAGAGAAAAATTAAAAACTAAGCTAAACTGAATTGAATTAAAATGAAATTAAGCTGAATATAACATGCCCTTAGTGGATTTTTGGCTGAAGGTAAGATTATAAGAATTCAATTATTTTAGCACGTACTTCCATTTCCGAAGTTCACTAACTCTTTTGTTAACCATTTGAAGTAACAAACTTTTAACGGAATAGTCCACTTATCTACAAGACTTATGCAAGCCTTCTTCATCTGTTAAAAAAAAGTGCAATAACCTACTCCGTATGGTTTTGCCAACCAAATAAATCTTTTCGTCCAGTTTCTAAAGCCTTCCACTTATCACTTGTTTTGGCCCTATTTGATGATAACATTTTATATTGAACTCGTAACTTTTATACTATTATGTAGCGGGTTATGAAAAGATATTAAGAAACGCAAGTATGTAAGTAACATTTGTAGCTTTTTAAAGATTTGGGGCCTGTTCACTTCAACTTAATATCAATTTAGTTCGGTTCAATTCAGCTCCAATCAATTTTAGTTCAGTTCATTTTAATTCAGCTCCAATTAGTTCAGTTTAGTAAATGTGAACGAACTCTAAGTTTGTAATTAATGTGGCTTTCTTCTAGCATCAAATTTTCAATTAAAATTAATTATGTTAGTGTAATATTGACTTTCTTAAAACGTTGCTATTAATATTGAAGCAATGCTAACTTGTTTAAGCAATTTAACAGGCATTACAAGCTTACATTCCACAGTCGCAACAGAGACCTCATCACTGAATCATACTTGGGGCACGTCTTAGATCAAGGCAAAGAAATCGCGATTAAGAAGAGACAAAGAAAGTTGTACACAAACTTAAACGAATCACCTTCATATGGAAAATCAAACTTATGGACTCATATCGAGTTCAATCACCCTGCTACATTTGACACCCTTGCAATGGAGGCATCTAAAAAAGAACTTATTGTAAACGACCTTCTCCGTTTTACTAAGGCAAAACATTATTACAAAAAAATCGGAAAGCCATGGAAACGCGGTTATCTCCTGTATGGACCGCCTGGCACGGGTAAATCAACCATGGTTGTGTCAATGGCAAATTTATTAGAGTATGATATTTACGACCTTGAGCTTACTGCTGTCAAGGACAATACTCAGTTAAGGAGATTACTAATTGAGACGTCGAGTAAGTCTATGATTGTGATCGAGGACATTGATTGCTCACTTGATTTAACCGGGCAAAGATCAACAGAAAAGAAGCAAGACAAGGATGGTGAGGATAAGGAAGGCGAAGAAGGGGCGGATGCAATCAAGAAGAAGGTGAAGGAACAAGGCGAAACCAAGAAAAGCGAGGTAACATTATCAGGGTTACTGAATTTTATTGATGGGATATGGTCTGCTTGTGGAGAAGAAAGGGTGATAATCTTTACTGAATTTTGTGCTGTAAAACAATCAGTCAGAGTAATGGTTGAGCGCGAACACTGGACTAAATGAAGGGGCGCACCTGCCTGAGCTATAGCCGGTATTGAACTAATAGAGGGCGAAACAGTTGTGCATTGTGAGTTAACTTATTCATGAGTCCAATTGAGCTTAAATGCCACAAACTTAAAACAAATATTTTGTGTTACTCCTTTCATTTCACATTAGTTAATTTGAACACTTATCACTGCTACCTCTTTAATTCTTGTTTACACACAAGAGTGATCATATATTGCAATGGGGGCAAGTTTTGATAGGTTTAAGACTATGTTCTGATTTACTGAACTGAAATGATTGGAGCTGAAATGAACTGAATAGAGCTGAAATGAATATTTTATGAGAGAAGAAAATTAAGAGCTGAACTGAACTGAACTGAATTGAATTAAACTGAACTAAAATTAAGCTGAAGAGAACAGGTCCTAAGTTAGCATCTTAACTTCTTATTAACGTGTGGTAGACCACCTAATCTTCGTTTCATATTAATTTCATTAAAAACTCGAGATCATTCATGCGTCAAAGGAAAAATTGCTGGAAATAACCTCACTTTTTGAGTGTCCGCGACAAATAATCTCACCTTTGGGGGTTGTCATCAGAGATGCTGAGGTAAGCTTCTGGCTACTCTCCGCAAGGAGAAAGCTGGGTGGCCCTCTAATGTTGCTAAAGCTGCTGTTTGCAGATTTGGGCTCCAATTGGTTGGCAGGTTGGACTATTCCTCGGTCGTTTTGGAGAGTGATGCTACTAAGGTTGTGGATGGAGTAAAGAAGAAGGCTTGCAATTTAACTCCGTTTTCCTTACTTATTGATGATATTAATGTTATTTCTCATAGTTTTGTTGCTTTTTCAATTTATCAAGTTAAGGTTAATTTCTGAGATTGACATGAAAAATTAATCTTCTCTCACAGTATATTATTTTACTTTTATTTTTTAAATAATAAAAGTGAAATAGTAAAGTGGCACGAAAACATATGTATAAAGTTGTGAGAGGAGATTAACTTGGAATGTTAATCTCGGAGATTAACTTGGGCTCCCTCCAAGTTAAGCGTGCGGATAATACTCTAGGTGACAATGTTATAAGGTGGAATTCTAGAGATTGTAATGAACTTGTTTGCATAGGTCCTTTTCCTCAAAGTCTTTTAACTTTTGTGGAAATTGACCTTTATTAATATTATTATCCGTAGACCGCATGTGGTTTCAAAAAAAAAAAAAAAAAAAAAAAAGGAAAGGAATCCATATTTTTTTCCTCCAAACCTAAAAGGGCCAACACATCATTGGCGGATCTAGGGTGGGTGTTCAAATGGGTTCATTGAACCCACCCATTTTTTGAAAAAAAAAAAAAAGTTTTAGTATATTAAAAAAGTGTTAAAATAAATATTTTTGTACATAACTATTAATATATGGTGTCGTAGCTTAATGATTTTTTAACCTTGGTTCATAACTTGAGGTCAAGGGTTCAAATCCCTTTAGGCTTCCTTTTTTTATTTTGGTTTTTTGTGTATCGAAATTTTAGCCTTCTCTTTTATTTTTTATTTTGGTTTTTAATTTGTATATTGGGATTTTTTGTGTTCAAATCCTTTAGCCTTCTTTTATATTTATACTTTTTTGTTTTAAATTTGTGTATTGGGATGACTTCTCTTTTACTTTTTTTTTTTTTAATTTTTGTTTTATTTGTGTATTGAGATTTTTTGGTACTAGTATTAGATTAATTTTTTAAATTTAGATTGTTTTGGACTTTTTGTTAGTTTTTTTATGTGTATTAAAAATTTAGAATCTTATATTACCATTGATATAAAAATTAATTCTGGAGGTTATCAATTAATTTTTCATTTACATAATTACAAAGTTTAATTTGATTGAAATACAATTATATCAATTAAATATGGAGTTAGATTTACATCACAATCATATGAATTATGCTTAACATATGTGGAGTTTCCACTATGAATTTTTTTTTTTAGTCTTTCTGATTTCAAACCCACATTTCATAATTCCTTAATACACCACTGCGCACGCATTGTAACAGATTTTGTTAAGTCAATACAAGTACTGAATAACCATTGTGGACCATCAATAGTTTGAACTTTTGCTACCATTTCAATTGCATAGTTAGTTTACTTAGGCCCCGTTCTTTAAAGCTGCTTTGCTCTGCTCTGCTCTGCTCTGCTGAAATCTTCTCTGCTCTGCTTCAATCTGTTCTGCTCTGCTTTGCCCTGCTATGCTCTACTTAAAATTAATACGTAATATTGAATTATTATAATAATAATTAATATTTAATGACTATAATAATAATGCGATAATAATAATAATAATAATTAATATTTAATAATAATAATAATAGTATTAGTAGTAGTAGTAATAATAATAATAATAATAATAATAATAATAATATTATATTATTATTATTATTGATATTAATATTAATAATAATAATAATGATGATGATGAAATCTGCTCTGCTCGGCTGAAATCTGCTTTGCTCTGCTCTGCTCTGCTGACATCTGCTTTGCTCTGCTCTGCTCTGCTGAAATCTGCTCTACTCTGCTCTGCCCAGAAGCTCAAAACAACAGAGCCTTATTTAGCTCCCATTATTTGGTATTGCCGACCTCAAACTTGCTTTTATTGGGTAGAACCACATTCTCATGTTGTTCCATGCATGTGCTTTCTACAAAATTCCTTCTCTTGTTCTTTGAAATCATCATCGCCCAATTCCGATTTTATTGACACTCTTCTTTTAATGGCAATGAGTATGCCTTTCTTCACATCATCAAAAGTTAAGACTACATACTTTAAAAAAAAAAAATGTATATTTCATCCATTATATTTTTTATTGGTAATATATATAAAACATTATTTCAACCAAAAACTTAAATTGATGGTTGAAATCCAAAATCGATTTACATACTCTATAACAGCCCCAACTCATGAGAGCTCTTTGGACTTGAAGAGTGGATGCATCATGGTCCCTCTTATATCAGTGGCGGGGCTGGAGCCGTGCAAGGTTGGCTACGGCTCAAGGCCCCTAAAAAAGCGCCCCAAAATTAATTATATATATAGTTTACTAATAGAAAATAACATAAGTGTATCGATGATAATGTTGTGTTTATTATATTTTCTAGACCCGAGTTCGTATATACACTAGAGCTAATTTTTTTTACACGCTTATAAAAGGAAATATAATAGTACTCTCTCTATATTTAATGTTTTGCGTTCATGTGCGAAGTTTTAAAAGAATTAGTAAAAAGTACTTCCTAATAAAATATGATGAAAGTGGGGTTGGTTGAAGAATATAAAATCTAAAAAAAGTAAACGAAAACTTTTATATGTGGTTGGTCATATCGTGCGGCTAAGGTTACTTATCTAAAGATTACTCGATCAGTTAGGGATTACTCGATCAGTCAGGGGTTACTCGATCAGTCAGGGGTTACTCGGTCATGGGTTACTTGTATATTTACTAGTTACTTGTTTAGAAGTTACTTGGTCGGTCAATTTTTACTCGGTCGATCAGAGTTACCTCACACAGAAAACACACACTAGCCAGCCTTTAATTCATTTTAAATACTTTTCGGAAAAAAAAAACCCAAACATTTTAACTATTTTAAGGTAATAATTTTAAAATTAGGCCTTGTTAACGCCCTAACCTTAATTTTATTGAACTGAATTATTTTTGCTAAACTAAAATTATTTCTATCGAACTTCAATTTTTTTTTATTGAACTGAAATTATTTTTGCTGAATTAAAATTAATTTTACTGAACCTAAACTGTTTTTACTAATTTTCTATTATATTATTTCCTTGAAATTACTGATTTTTTATCGAATTGAACTTATTTTTACATAGCTAAAATTATTTTTAATGAGTTGAACTTAATTTTACTGAATTGAAATTGTTTCTAACTAAGTTATATAGTTTTGGAAAATTCTCTTTGGTAACACCTAAATTTTTATTTTTCTCTTTGGTGATTTGGAAAAAACATTATTGTCTTTGGTAATCGTGTATTATTGATTACCAAAGATAATAACTATTTTAATTAAAATTATTATCCATATATAATGTGTTAGATATTTTGTAAAACTCCTCAGATTGGAGTGATTCCACTAATCAAATACATATAGGGTTACAAGAGTGATTCCTAAACACATTAGGGAATCTCACAAGGTAAATACAGAATATTAACAAACTATATCCTTCTATACAAAATAATATATAGAATATATTCTATCATAACCCCGCAGTTCATAGCGAGAGGAGGACGTACGCTAAGACTGGAACGAAACTCCAAAAATAGTTGTCAAGGTAGGCCTTTGGTGAACATGTAAACAAACTGATAGCGCGAAGGAACGTGCAAGACCCGTTCATGCCCCAACGCCACCTTTTCTCTAACGAAAAGAATGTCCATTTCGATGTGCTTGGTGCGTTGGTGTTGTACGGGGTTATGAGATAAATAAATGGCACTGACATTATCACAATAAACAACAGTGGCCTTTCTAAGAGGACACAGTAACTCCAAAAGAAGATTACGAAGCCAACATGACTCGACAACAACATTTGCGACGCCACGATATTCTGCCTCTGCTTTTGATTTAGAAAGAGTAGGCTAACGCTTGGATGGCCAGGAAATGAGATTGTCACCTAGAAAACAACAATGCTTTGAGGTTGACCGACGAGTGTCAGGACATCCACCCCAATCTGCATCAGTATAAGTAATTAATTGCGAGGATAATGAAGGATATAAGTGTAACTTGTTATCAATGGTGCCTTGAATGTAACGCAGGAAGCATTTCAATGCATCATAGTGAGTGACAGGGTAAAGTCGTATCCCCTAATCAAAAGTAAATACTAAAGTCCTCTAACTAAAGTAGATATGGAAGTAGGGTCGAACTCCACAAGGAAACAAGTCTTTTTATTCCTAATTAGTTATTATAATCTAAATTATCTAAGTAACCAATATTTTTGGGAATAAATTCTATACTACGAAAAATAAGTTTATGGAGAAAAGAAACAATAATAAGGAAGCTTAGGGTCATAGGTTCACCAACAATTAATATTCCGGGATAGAACAAAGTAATTAATAATTAACAATGCACAGATAACATGATTAACAGGCTCTCGCAATTTATTAATCAACATAGATCTAACAGGCTCTCGCAATTTACTAGATCTA